TTTCTCTGAGATTGTCATTATTCCATGCCGAATTAACAAAACGTTCGCAAGGAGTTGAACAATTTAGTAACATCAGATATCGGGTAACAAGACTTAAAAGTGTGTTTCATGTATTTTATTACGCGTAAAGTAGCATTTTGGACGTTGAAACTTTGTATGCATCGTTTGACCAATAATTTTTTGAGTTAGTGAAATCCTGATCTCAATAACTGACAAGAACTTTTCAAGATAAACGTCATTAAATTATCAATTTCTACCGGAGAAATCCATCACTGAAATGTCGATAATTATATGAATAAAACGTTTCGCTAATTACAAGCATATTAAGCGTCTGGTTATAATTGCGCGCCGCTATTTATTATCGCGAAACGGTTCGCCAGGTATAGACAGTTACGTCAGCAAGATGCATTTTCTTTTAATTAAAGCCACGCTGTTATTGTTTATACCGACGTTGGACAACTGCGATAATAATTTCACTCGCCCTGAAAAACCGGGCCAGTGCTCTTTCCCCGACAGAGTGACACCAACGATTCTTCTGTGAAAAATAGTGAATGCTGCAAGACAAATTCTCCTCACTGAATTCAGAGGGTCTCATTAGCGTAATGCAGTTTGCCCATCTTTCTGTAAAATAATCAAATTAAAATTGAAATTCAGTAATAATCAGAATCATACAGGCTGCGTCATAGTAACAAGTACCACGTGTTACTTGTTTAATGATGTTATCAAAACGTACTATGTGCGAATTCCTGCGTCAAATGAATTCATCCTTTTGACAGATTAAAATAGGAAAGTAAGAAAATCAATGATGAGTGGGTCACATTTTACGCGAAGATTGTAAAATTTGTGTTAAAATACAATTTCACAGGTTTCTGTGCAAGCTTTTGATTTCAACAAGTGCATCCCCTGTAAGATTTATCGTCCCCGTGCGAGGGATACTCGAGGGTGTCTTACAAAGTCGTGAATCCTCAGTTTAAAGGAGAAGTTGCAAAACTAGAAACAACAAACAGGGGATGGTCTGTTCAGATTCGTGCAAATTCTCCTTATTGCATTATTAGACGTGCAATCATCGAAATCATTCGTCTATTAGACAGTTCAATAAGCAGTCTCGTTCTGCAATATCAGTTTTTTGATAGAATCTTTAATAAGAGCGGTAGTACAAGAAGTCTGGCCCAATATTCTGTATAGAATAATGGAAAATCGATTGGTCAGGGATGGTCAGCCTTGTGCAGCTGTCCATCTAGTTCTAAACGCCATCCATCTTCGTCATCGAATTCTTGTTTTTCCCGAGCAAGTTTCGAGCCGGGAAACCCGGTGTCCGCAAAAAACTTTTAGCCCGTGTGTGCTTTCTTCCACAAAGATTCATTACCTTTCATTACCGCAGCTTCCCGCGGCAAAGAGTTGTTCCAAAGGGTGTAAACTCGGGCAACGATTGAAGTAGCGATTCGATCATATAACCAGTTTTATGCGCGCCAATTAAATCTTGAGGCAGCGTTCCACGGCTTTAACGAGTGGCGAACTGCAGAAAGTTAAGTTAAAACCAAGTCGAAGTCGACGGAAATCGACGTCGAAATTGCTGTTCCCGATTCGAAACTCGGCGAGGTAGCGGGACGAAATGTCGCGCAATTTCCTGTAGACTTGACCACGGTAAAAAGGTTGACAAGTTTTGCTGGGATTAAATTCCCGAGAAATATAGGACGGTTCACGCGTGAATAAAATGAAAAATGAAGTATCGTCGTTTCATGGTTAATCGAAGTGCCAATTAACAAGACTTGAGACAAAGTCTCCCAGCAGGGAATTTAATGGCATAGAAAAAACGTTTAATTAGACCGCGTTAATTACAATATCAGAGACTTTTGTGCTACCATCAGTTTCTAGGTAGGTCTTCCGGAAAACGCATTGAGGGAACTCTTGGCAATTTGCTTCACCCATCGCGATTTCCTTTAATAACGACGCGGTTATTCAATATGAAAATTGCAGGATTGAAACTTTCCAACGGAAATTATTAGTTAACCTCGGGATTTCGCTTGATAGAAACGGCCGAGAGAGGATCTCGCCGGATGCTGAAGATTGCGATCGGATGTCACGAGGGAGAAAAACGGTTTACCTGTAGGTTAAATAAAGAGCAGGTGCACCTGGGTAATTGTACGACGTATTTACGTAGGCATGCGCGCCCGTATAATTTACACCGGACGAGTATGCGGGATACTTGTTCTCTTTTTCCTCGCGTTTTCTTCTTGCCTTTTACCGAGCAAGAAGGCCGACGCTGCAGCGCGAACTGTTTTTTAGATGGAGACGTTTTGTATTCATAGGGTGTGCCTCGCGTTAGAGATAAGGGGATGGAGTCAGGTTGTTTACCCTGAACTCTAACTTATTTTCCTACAGAGTAGATCATTTAAACAGGAACACGGAAATTGAATATCGTCACTTGGGTAATGATTGATGGACTCTCTGTAAAATGTAAAATTTAATACATATCTTCTATGCATTTTCATATGTTGTTTCAACTTTTAAAAATATTCCGACTCATTGTTAAATTCGCTGGCATCCATAAGTATCTGATCTTACAGCACGTTCGTTATGATTTAATTTCGCTCACAGTAGCGGATATTAAATACACATCTTACTCCGTACAAATTGATTGTGTTGATTACGGTCTAATGGCTATTATTTGTCTTGGCATGCATGCAAATTTAACTTTCACCGTACACAACGAGCAACGATCGTACTTGGACATGTTGCTCTGTTGATTTTCAGTATCGATTCCGAACGTGAATTATCGGATCGCTTCAACTTAATGTACTCTGCGAATCCATTGTTTGCGCTCCCTAAGCGTATCTCGTTTCTACGATTTGTGGCGATTTATCAATATGAAAGGTGGGACGATTCAATCTCGTTGGAATAATTTTATCTATAGCCCCTTTGTAAAACTGGCGAACAAATGTTCCCCAGTGGATTAACGGGATTCGATTGGTTAATCGGATTAAATCGAGATCAATGAATCGCTGATTGCGATACGTTCCATATCGGAACGCGCGGTTAAACCCAATTTGCATTTAACATTGCGAATGTTAGGGATAAAGTGTCAAGGCGCCTGTTCACTTGTATCATATTATCGTATCAAATCATCGTTAGGTATCATCGTTCCGTATCATTCGTCGTATGCAAGTCCGTTTTTCGTATGCATTACGTCAAACAATTTCGCACTATCTATATACATTTGGTACAATATTTCAATTGATATCTCTGATCTGAATAGTGAGATTTTTTACGGAGAGTGAGTATGAATGTCTTCAGATCTCTTGTGAAGATTTCTCTCGAGAAAAATCGCGGTGCAAATTGCGAGGGAAAACTTTTTCGACAGAGAGGTGTCGTTACTCGGAACGATCTAATTTGCGTAGTCGAGTTCCATCGACTCGGGTTTGATTTTAATCGGTCGATTAACGAGCTCCGTGCGAGCGCTTCTTTCTAGCTGATCGTTAACACCGAGTATAAAACGCAACTTGTTTGTTGCCTCGCGAGAAACCCGACGCTTTAAAGAACAATGGGTGAGAGCGAGGGAAACTTGTTCCGTAATTCCAGCTAAGAGAATACATTTAATTAGAGTAAATTCCGAGGGAAGAAGAGACATTCGAAGAAAGGGGAATTGGACGCCTTAACAAGAAAGGGTGTATTCCTCGACGTCATCAGTCGCCATAAAATGCACACCCTCTTAGTTTACGTTTGAGGGTGTTCCTTAACTCCTTTAAATTACCTACAATGCGTTATCGTCTTAAAGCGTCAATTAGCCGCGTCGGAAGTTACGGAAAACCAACGCTGCATAGGTGCAATCTCCCACCGCGAATTGTATTCTATTCTGCAAACTCGTTTACGAGACGTGATACAAGGAACGTGTCCCAGAATCTGTATGCACTTTATATCGAACTTTCATCTATCGATCAATCGCTATTACAAAGGTTTACGAAAGTCTGTGCATTCTTGATTTTCGCCGTTCGATGTGTACTGCCAATTTCTACGGCATGGAAAGAGTTAAGAAGTAGCGAGGCAACGGAACGTTTCATGGAACAAAGATTTGGAGATTGAATTCGATGCAGTTTAATGGGTTGCAAGTTTTCCAATCGGCAAAAGCAACTATGGCTGTCACCGGCCAGGAACTGGCTTCGATTCTCGACTGGAATCAAACGAAGTTGGAGATCAATAATTGAATTGCGGCCGTGCATCAAAACACGGGGGGAACAAGCTCGTTCCGGTGCCGGATGCAGACCCATAGCTCATGCAGGCCGCGAGTGCACTCGAGCCTCCATTAATATCGTCGCGTCTCTGACACTGGCGTCCTATGAAGCTCGCGGAACCGGAAGCGTCTGTGCGATTCCGCGTGTCACCGGAAATTGTTCTACTCGTGATCGTCACGCACTTTCACTTAACTCAGGCGTATGAAGGATAAGGGGTCCTGCTTCTTAGGAAGAGAGTCACTGCGGTGAAAGAAATCAGAATGAATTGATTCGTTTTGTCGCAGCAAGTGAAATCAGTGGGAAAAGTTGAGTGACTGTTTCCTGTTTTTATTTATAAACTGGAAGCAACCAATTCCGTATGACAGACGAGTTTCTTCAATTCACGATCGAAAGACTTCTAAAGTTTGACTTTGAATCGACAAGAGTGACGTAATAACGAGAAAATTGGCAGTTACCAGTTGAAAGAACTGTCTGTCGTGATCAAAGGGCAAGCAGGAAAAGCGAAGGGAAAGCATCCGGTTCGGGGCACGCGTGGCGCGTCGTCTGGGCTCTTTTCGGGTTTTGTCTGGGACGCTTGCGTCGGTTCCCTCGTAGTACGCGCCGGCGTTGCTCCGGGCAACCGATGGGGATGAATTCTACGCGACGCCCGGCGTCGAGTTTCCTCTCGTAGCGGGTGGGGCTGTTAGTCACCCTCAGTGCGCTCCACGACGCCGAACTGACCACGTACAACCCGGCGAAACGCGATATCTTGAGATAACACGTAGGTCGCGACCCAATCGTCTTTTGGTATCGATCATCGATCACCCGGTGATCGTTTAACTCAATAGTGCAGTGATCGGTCATTGAGATTTCGCGACGATTCTTACTCTGTCCACGACGATCACGCGGTATCAGTGATTATTGTAATTGAAATTTCTGTAATTATCCTAGTAGAATAACTTTGATCTTTTAGCAAATACGCATTTTAAAACGACTTCTCAAATATTTATCCCTTTAAACAGAATATGTATTGCTTGGTTCAGAGTACGATTTGTAGACGATTTTTATGATCAAGTGGTACTGTACCAAAATTTATTAACGTATCATAAGAAAATTGAACGACATTCACAACTGGACGTTCCATTTTCAGTCTAACACGCGTGAATTGCATCAAAACCGATTTGATTTATAAGAAGATAAATCGAGATGTGTAAAAGTAATTGTAAAAAAGTTGGCGGGTAAATGAAGCCGACGATCTTGGAGAGTGAAAGTTAACTTGGCCGTAACTGGAAATTAAATCGAAGGACCGGCGATAATTCACTTAGCCCGGAGTGAAATGAGAATGGAGTGCGCGTCCGAACGGAATTTTAAAACGAATCACGCCCACTCGTTCACTTTAGATCGTCGTTGATCGAGCAAGGTCGAATCGAATCAAACAGGAAATTAACTCATTTCTTGTTCCACCGTTATAAAAGCTTCGAATAAATCATTTTATCAAACGATTCGTACAATTTGCAAAGTGTCGTCGATTAATTATCGTGTGAACGCGATCGGAAAAATATTTTAGACGATAAAGAGCAAGAAGTGGGTTGATCGATTGCGATTTTTCAGTAATTAGGTGATTGCACGGCCGAGCGAGAATGCGCGTGAACGGAAAATCGGATTAGCAACGGGAAATCGGCGTGCATCGAACGTGCGTGCGTGGTGAGAAGAATCGAGATATCTGATAATTGATCGTGACAGTTACGTATCGCGATCATAACGAAGTTATCTGGGTGTGACAGTGAACGAGTGACGTATATCCGAAGGATCCAATGATCTGTCGTAAGTCAAAGAAACGAAACGGTCGTTGCAGAGTTTTACGATTTGCCAACGAGTCCGTGATGGGAGCCTTATTTTCGAATCGGATCGACGCGTTCACTTTTTTCCTCTTTGTTCAAACTTTGGAGCCCATTAAAACTTGAGCGGTGTCCGCGTGCGTGAAACTCCAGGATTTAATTTACCCTTCTGCCCGGGAATAATCAGGCCACTCGTCTCCCGGGCAACTGTTTTCTCCCTGTTACACATTACAATAGAAGTTCTCCGCGGAAAGAAAAATCGTATTACGAATTTAACTCCGGGAAAATTTATAATTGTCGGATTATTAGACTTGTTATTGAATTACGCTTCGATAAGGGACCATTTAGAAATCTGCAAGTTGTTTGGAAAGTATAGAAATGGGAATTATTGTCAAAGAATCGACGGATTTCCAAAGACGGATTGGGAAAGGAATCGGTTCTTCGTAATGAAAATCCTTGTCGACTTCTGAAAGGAAAGAATGTCCCCGTAATTACTTTTATTCGAAGGCTGACTTCTTTCTTTCGCTATTCTCAGGATAAAGGCACCGGCCATAAATTAAATCCTGTCCGCAAGGCGAATTTATATGGTTTAATTTGGCTGAGCAATACATAGCCGGACCGATAAAACGAAATGAACAACACGAGTCATCTCTTTGACCAATGCTTCGGTTCAATAGCAATTTTATTGAAACAACGTAAATTCGTCTTAACGACTTAAGGTAATTTGCGAACTTGTTAAATTCTCGAGCCGCAACTTCTCGGAAGATACACGCGAGATCTCGTTTCATACTTTGCCCGACTTTGATTTATTCAAAGAGAAAGGGTTGTTCGCAACTTGAATTCGTCTCTTATTAAACCCATTCGCTTAGAGAAACTTTTGCACGAATAGAAAAGTCGCGAAATATTCCGTGCACGGGATTCAATATTGGCTGATCCGGAGACACACCGGGTTGCCGAAAAATGTAATTGGAATCCCCCGGCGATCGACGGATATTACAAGGATTCCAGGAGGTCGGGGAATTCGCGTAGAGAGACGAGTAAATTGGAAAATCGACAACTGGCGTGTGTATTCCGGCGCGGGGACGCGTGCGAGCTGAAATTTGATTAAAAGGTCAAGTAACGAGTTAATTGTACGTGATTAACCGCGCGTTAAACTGGCCACGCCGGCTAGGGAGAGGGCGAAGCTTAACCGAAAGCTCTTCCCATTGTTTGCCCGCTGCGCCATTGTCTTCTCGCTTTCCCCTCGTCCGACATCGATTTCACCACCTCCACGCTTTTTCGAACTTTCCTCTCGCGGCTTCAAGTGAAACTTGTTTCAGACTTTGAAATTGAACCTGCGAATTCACAGATAAAAGTTGGATTTGCATAGTCGTCGCGCTTTTCTTTCTCTCATTCCTCAGAACTGGTTAGAACATTTTTATTTCCCAATGATTCAATCGAATACATTTCACGACGAGAAAAATTGATCTTATTCGATGCCGCGACAAGAAATATGAAATGTGTACATGCAAAGCCTGTCGGATGAAGGGATTGGGTGATGGAATCGCAATTTCCGGGCGCCAGATTTGGATCCTGCTTCGTTTCCCCCTATATAAAACGATCGACTGGAATTTTTAATTAAACCTCTGCGTCGGCGCGAATTCGTTAACCGATCTTTGGAATCCTTCGTTTCATTTGTATCGGAATCGATTCGGTAGAACAAATGAAAGGGGTGAAGCGGAACGAGAGCGAAGTCATTTCTGAAAACGAGCTCGATGAGCCGTGAGCTTGAGATAAGCAACGAAACTCGCGAACCTCCCATGAATGCTGATGGAAGATAGAACAGATGTAATAGCATCAATCAAGTCTTGGCCTTAGCTGAACCCTTTTACTACATGTCTTTTACTATTTATAAAAAAAATAAAAAAATACTATAAAATTGTAAATAATTAATTTATATCGCGTTTTCACGTAGTAACAACAACCACGTTTAACTCTGAAAATACAATACTTAAAAAATTAATATAACTTCGGGTTTAATGTACCTCATAGTTTACACTAGAAGGTTGTTAAATATTTGATTGTTAAATATGAGTGTATCAAAGCGTAGAGGCCGTTTATTTGGTGGCGAGAGGGAATCATTACTGGAAAATCGGGAAAGAAAATAAAAGCGGACTGGTTTCAGCCTGGGGAGATCAAACTCCGGTCTAATGCGAAAGTTCTCCAACGGCATGGTTATGGAGCTCTTCTCCGGTACTATTTACCATTCGCGGAAGGAAAGCGACGAAAGGGAGTTCGATTGTACTAAGTTCGCGTACCTGACCCACATCCCACTATCGTCCGTTCACGGATAAAGTCGAGTTGTTTCAAGCTAAGCTTTAACATCTTAAGACTAAACTTTCAACTCAGCAGGAAATATTTGTTCTCTATTAACCGATCTCTCGAGTGGAAACATGATTAGACATCGTGTACTTTAAGTTTAAGGTTAATTAAAATGTGGTAAGATCGTTCGGATTCATAACAGAATTCTTTGCTAATTATTAATTCCGCATCGATAAATTCTTGATTTAATATCACGATGTAAAAACATATTGCTCAGTTTATACTCGAACGAAAATGTGACAGGACTATTTATTTTTGAGAATTTTTAGCTCGGAGAGAGGGTTTAGATTGCCGGTGATTAAGAAATCGAGGGCAAAAGAGTGAACCTCGGGGGTGAGATTGCAAATAGGGCGAGCAAAAATATTCCTCGCTGCTTTACATCCGGGAAACAAATGCCCAGCGAAATAAAGGAAGATGACAGATAGAAATAACACCCCTCGCCTCGCCTCGAGTGAAACGGACACCGATCTCAGAGAACGTTCCCAGGGGTAGAAACGCATTTCTCGGTCACTTCCTTTTGTTCATTTCTTGTACAAAATACAAATTGCCATTGACGTTATATAACCAATTAAATGACAGTAAAAGGAATTCATTGTTATGTTCATTATCATTATATTGTTTCGTTATTATATATCATTTATAAACGTGACCATTGTGAAAAGGGGTAATTGTTTAGATATTTTGCTTACGAGTCTCAACGAGGACTCCGAAATAAGCAAACAGAGACGAGTTTACCTAGGTGTCGCAAGAAAAGGGAGGTGGAGGATCAAGGGTGGAAGTCGCAGACGGAGAAAGGGGTCGACTCGGGTAAATATTGACCAGAGCTACCCCCAGGACGACTGAATTAACAATTCCATTAAAATCCAGTCGTACCATGTAAAATTTTATTGTGAGTCGTAGTAATTCCGCTGTTTTTCTATTAATAAATCGTTCCATTTTGCATCGGGTTTAAGTATTTACGAGCGGCCCGGCCGTGCCGTGAATGTTTAAGGGAAGAATGCCTCGTTAAACTTTTATATTCGTTTGTTCCGCGCGAATCGCTTTGATTCTTTTTTTTTTTCGACCGTTCAATTTTTTTTCGGATTCCGTCCAATTTTGCGTTTCGAGTTTGCACGACTTTTCGTTAGCCGGAACAACCGGTTTTACTCGCGGCCTTCCGTTGCCAGGACAATTTTGTCAACGCGAGATTTTTGTTCCTAATTGCTTTTCGGCGTCGATATCCCTGTTGCATATATTCGTCTCTATACAAGACTGACAGTATTTCATCTACCATTTTTTTTTTTTTTTTTTTGGTGCTATACATTCAATTCTTTTATAAATCCGCACGATTTAGCACATTACGTGCATTGTTTGTTTCCTGAAAGTATAGTCTTTCTGTAAATATTTATGTATAACTGCAATCCGTTGATAAGTACAGCTATAACAACCGAGAGGTATTGTACGCCATAACGAAAGAGGATTCAAGAGATCTTCCTCTCTAGAGAAAAGACGTCTGTTTGCGATTAGCTGCTTGTTTACCGGCGGTACATTTATTTTACGGATGTCCCCGAAGCATTATTTAATTTTTTACCCTCATCGGTTTCCATGGAACGCGCTGTTGGGATTCAAGCGCCGAATTCCACCGAACCTTTCTGCGTCCGCATCAATTAACGCCGCAACGCATTTCCACTTCGTGTTAGACGTTTTCTTCAAAAGCATCGTATGGCGTGGGTTCGAGGAATTCAATTAAAGCCGAGATTTCCCGGTGGGTCACCGCCGATTTTCTAACCGATTCTCGCTACTTCCCTTTCGCCGATCGTGTCCAATTTCCTAGAAACGGTCCGATTAACAAAAGGAGAAACTTGGCTCGAACTTTTCCGCGAATTTCCCTCCACAAGTTTTTCCTCTGAACGAAGAGCACGTTAACGGGATACGACTGGTAATTTCCAACGGTTCGTTACGATAACGTGTTTCACAGATAAAGTTTACCCTGGCTGTAGAACGATTCCCATAGTAGCCTCAGGACATTTTTCAGTCATTCGAAAGAATGATAAAGAAACAGATGCATTACCTAGGAAAAATATTTTTATTCAAACGTGATATATTACATGTGATAAAAGAACAGTAAATGAAGGCAGACACGAAGGTAATATCATTCGTATTCAATTAATTACATTTTGTAATTATTCTTATTTGCCAAACGTTCTCACTCATCATCATATTAAATTGATCGAAAATGTTTGCCAGGACGGTATAACTTTTTCAAATAGAAAACGAGTACGCGAAACGGTTCGATACTGGTTCGCACCGTATCGTTCCCTATGCATTATCGGTATTCTGCATTCATCATATACATAGAAGTACATTACCCTTCAAAAGTATGTGAACATTTCCTTGGTTGTAATAAACCGTTAGCAATTTTATTCGGTTTTATTACTAACTTAGGAAATATACTAGTCCAGTATTTCATTAAATATTTTACCAATGACAATAACGAGTGATTATCAAAGCCACATTATACTTAAATAAATTATTAAATCAATTTGATTTTTTATTATCGGTAATGATTCGGATTATATATCGCGAAAGATGTTCAAATACTTTTGAACTGTATTGTATATATTCCCGAGGAAAATGCTCGACAAG